TGACTCTATCCCTGATAGATGGCAGTAAAATTTACATACATTTACAGTGTAGGAGAGTCCTCAAGTGGTGCCAGAAAACACACACAGCGAGCAGTAGAGCAGTATTTGGAAATGCCTGTGCTTCCTCTGAAAGCTTTTGGAAGTATGGATGGGTGTTGGTTTGGGCAAGGGATGATAGGGACTTGTGAGACACTGAGACAAGAGGATTCGGAAAAGCAGCAGATGGGGGAATGTGGGGCTTTCAATCCAAGATGAAGAGGGAAGGAAAGAAACTAAAACAACCACCAGCAAATAAAGAACTAGAGAGCCCTCATCTGATCACCCTACTGCTGGACATTTTCTACACAGAACCTCCATCTCAACCCAGTTCTGTGAACATCCTTCAGCCAGCAGGGTTACATGGGACCGTGCAGTCCTGACACACTATGCAAGGTCAGACAAAGTGCCTTGTCAAAAGATCCCCTGTAATTAGGGAATACTGGCCTACATCTAGGTTCTTCAAACAACATTCATAAACAGCAGCAAGGTAAAAGCCAAAGAAAAAAAAAAAAAAAAAAAAAAAAAGCTTGAACATGAAAGCACAGGATTTTGTTGAAAATTTAAATCCGTTTCTGATTCTCAGTATCAAATTAAAGTGTATAAAGTTCATCAACCCTATCCACCGGAGCTACAATTTGGACAGGTGGAAATCATGACTGAAAACACGATTTTGGCACCTGTAAATGAGAGGTCTTGCACAGAGGACCTTGTATGAGGGCAACATTGACATTCATTAAAAAAAATACAGCAGGCAAAAACAGAACATTAACCAACATAGATGGTCTACAAACGTTTTGAGAGGGTAGAGTAGGGGGCTCCCCTCACACAGCTACAAATTTAAATTTCTGCTCAAGGAATACAAGATTTTTCTCAGACTAGGGAAGTATCTTTTATCCAGTCTCTTCAGAACGATATTTATTTAATTAGAAATAAAAGAATTATGTGCAAATATTTATATTCAGTGACCGGAACACCAGAACATTACTCCTTCTTCAGCATTTAAGTTTCTCTGAACAAATCAAAGTGTAAGTATATACTTACAAAACACACAGCTGGTTACTATTGGCCCAATGGCTTTAGCAAGAGCAATAAAATACATCGGAGCAAGGAAATTTAAAATGCACTTCCAATGCTGTTCCATTAGGAAAAAGAAAAAAAAAATCTGAAGAAATATACCACCTGCCCCACTCTACCATTTAAATTTTTCAAAAATAAATATCAGTCAACAACCTGTAATTATAGGATGACGACTATTAAGAATATTTAAACCTTTGAATGCTTCTCCTACCCTCATACAACATAACAAGCACAGTTAAAGTACTTGCTAGCTGAGCACTACCTACCCTTTGAGTCTTTAAGTCCCACCATTACCATACATCAATCAGCACTTCAACATTCCTCCACACCACACGCATTTGCCAAGCATGATTGGTTTATTCCTTTCAGCAGTTACCTCCTATTTCTCTTCCTGCATGTTCTTGCCAGTAGGAAAACGTCTGGAAATTGAACTATTCTCTTTCTCCTCTCAGAGTTCTGGGACTTTTAGTACAGCTCACATATTCCTCCAATTCCCCTTGTTATTTGTTCTTCTAATCTATGTTACTTCTATTTAATTCTGTCTATATCATGTTTTCTACGACCTGTGTCGTTCCTGCCCATCATCCTCTACCTCTCACCCCATCTGTGCAGATGTTCCCACTTGACTCACAAAAGTAAGAACACAGCTTGAAGCAGCAGCCAAGTCACAGCAAACAGCACACTGGAGACGCCAGCTGGTATTACTTTTCATATGCTGCCCCTGAATGGAAGTCTTACACAAACCGTAAAAAAATGAAAAATAAAAAATAAACAAGCCAGAGGTATGTTCCTGCTCCCAGAGTTGATGGGTAGGCAGGCTACACATATGGAAACAAGGATCACAAGTTCAGTATTTTTAACGACAGAAAATCATTTGGGGAATTTTTATCTATAGTGTGTGCTTAACCAAAGTTTACACTGCTTAGGAACTAAATGATCTCTGATTTAATTAACATTTGCAATTGATTTCACAGAATCTTTAATATCATTTCATTTTATGCAGGAAAGCAATATTATCACGTAGCCTAAATATTTACTACAACTTTAATGGAAATCTTTGCCTGTTTTTTTTTTTTTTTTTTTTCCAAATTAATGTAGAACGAATATTGACTGTATTTCATGACTTTTTCGAAGACAGAAACCCAGCTGTAAGTAATTAGAAGCTATTTTGTAAAAATGAATGTGTTGCTGTAGGAAGACAAATAATTAGTCATCAACATGCAATATTCTCTCATGAGAATACAGCAACAAACTGACCTAGATATTGCTGCATTTTGCTGACACAAGCAATTTCTGAAGTACAATACTAAGAACTAAGAGATCCAAACCTTTTTTTTTCCAATTACAATTCTTGTACATACAACATACAGAATAAATAGATAAACACAACATCAGCACTCTGAAGAATGACAAATGGAGATGTAAAGCTGTACTTTTTTGTTTTGTTGTTTGTTTTGCTTTTTGTTTTGTTTTTTATGAAATTATCAGACCATCAAATAAAACTTACTGAAATGTAAGTATCCTTTGGGCAGACAGACTTCATACCTTTTTAATTAGTATTTTCATGAATTTTCCTGAAGTTGTTATAAAAATAATAATAGCCATCCTCATGTTTTTCTAGAGAAACACCATAATCAAGAAACAGAATACCCCACTTGCAATAACTCTAACTTGTTTATGCTTCTGAAGTACCACACAATTACAATTTAATAGATAGCCATTTACCTTCCCTCCTTTCAATTTGTTTACTCTATTTGTACAGTATGAACAACATACACAAGTATTATGAACAATTTCAGTCCCTTTCTGTTAATCCATCTTTTTATACAATTCCATTAAAAATACAGAAAATCATATTCACACTTTCTAGCATTTTCAATTTAAAAAAGAAAATATAAAGTTTAATTCTTTTGTGCTTGTTACAATAAATTATTACAAAAAATAAAAAAAAAAAACACATTAAGCACTTTGCATTAAACAGCATTTGCCAAAGAAACTAGACTTCACATTTGACAATGGTCTCAAAGATTTCTCTACAGAGGGAGACTCACTGAGTCATTGATTTAGCTGCCCCTTTGAAACTTTCAAACATTTAACTGCAAACACCACAGAACTACTTCCATTTCTTATATTATGTATGCACACATACAATACTGTGCGTATGTATAAAGACCACAGGGGACGGAAGTAAGTCAACGTCCTAAGAGGAAGGTTTTATCTGTGTGCTAGAGTTTTCATTAAATAGAACTGTGCTTACACTGTGTATGCCAAGACTACTCAGCTAAAAATTCAGAATTTAAGAAGTAATTTTGGAGTGATATAAAGAAATAAAACTTCATTACCTTTAACAAATTATCTTTTAACTCTGTTGATCCTGAATTTAAGTTTAGGGTATGACATGAGAAGTGAGAGGCCATGCTGGAGGCATAAAAGGTCAGTACTGGTGCTGCTGCACACAGGAAAGTAGGAAGTTCTTTTAAAAACATAAGAAATACAAAGCCTGTACACTGAAGAGGATGAAGCTGCAGGTTGTCACTAGCTTTCCTGCACCCCAAGTTAAAATTTACCATTCTTGACATTCAGGTATGCAAATTTTAGAGCCGCAGCGCATCCATACCTTTTAAAATACAAGTCAGTTTACCCAGCACAAAAGGGGCTATGCATCCACGCCCATATTCCTCTCAACATGATTTCACTGTAGTTACCTATTGAAATTTTGAGCTATCAAATATTTAACAGACTTCATGGTCAATACCTTAACCATGAGCTATTAAAAACACAAGTTTCCCATTTAAGGTTAAGACCAAGCTGAGCATGCTAGATACATACTGACGTTTTCAGTATTTTCACTACCATTAGTACAGACAGCACATAGGAAAAAAAAAAAAAAAAAAAAGATTTCTTCAAACCTTTTCCTTTTTGAAGCATATTTAATATCATTAAGAATAATAATTAATAGGGACAAGGATCATAAAATTCTGTCTTTTGAGAAAATCTCAAGACATGATGTCTTCCAAATGAAAGAGTTTAGTGAGAGCTAACTGTCATTATTTAATTGATAAACCTCATTTTGCACTGAACTGTCTTATCAGCTTATTAGCTAATTTCATTAGCTATTATATTATGCAAATCACGTTATTTTGGTTTTGTCAATAATGTCCATGTCAATGCAGAAAATGTTTCTGCATTATGTGTTCTGGGAAGCATAATGACCTAAGGTTACCTAAGCCATAATTCTGAGAAAAACCCTACAACATTGAAAAACAGTAACAAGCACTCACTGAATAAATTGTGTGCTTTCATGTTGTGTATTTACTCACATGCTATGTATGAAAATTAAAAAAAATGTATGCTATGTACCAAATTTTTTCTGAAGTATATTCAGTAAAGCACACCTGACTTTAAAACCTGCAAATATCTATTCTGTGCTCACAGGTACTTTATCAACTTGTAGTATAGCATATATTCACATTAAAGAAGATAAAAGTTCAATTTGTTTCTTTAAACTTTATTTTCAGTTTAATCATTTATGGTTCTTTTCCAGGTATCAGAATTCGAACTTCAAATGAAGTGTCTTCACAAGCAGTGCAGCTTAGAGCAGAATTCAGTCATATACCCTCCATTTGTGTAGTTTCAGCTTAAAAACTCCATAAATAGGACTGGTTTTTGAAGAACAATATATAAAGTAAGCTTCATTCAAAATTCATTACTGAGAGGAATATATGTTGCTGGCAAGAAAAAAAAAGCAACTATAACTAAAACTTTAGCGGTAGTATAAGTTACTAGCTGAAAGTTCTCCAGTTCTCACTGGCTTTCACAGATTCCACCAGAAATAACCAACGAAAAGACTTTCTTATACATCATTTTTCTGCAATATGACTTACCAACTTTGCTGCCTTTCCATAATCAATCCATCGGATAGTGGCAAAGTTTGTTGACTCTGCACAGTTAAAACCATGGTTGAATCCTGCATGGTATCCATATGGGAAGGTGATTATAAATTCCCCTGCCTCTTGTGTAACCTATAGCATTTACAAAAAAAAAAAAAAAAAAAAGCAACGTAAGTTCTGCTCTTGAAGCAATGAAAACTATACTTGCCTTTACAATTATCCAAAGAATGCTTTTTCCCCCTGCACACAATTGTGATTTAACACATACAGAAATAAAATATTTGAGACAGTGTTTTTTATCCAAATTACAGTAAAATTTGGATAGTTTCTCAGCATAGCTACATGTATTTACAAATTCAAAAAGTACTTCCAAGAAAGAAAGTCTTGCAAGAGGTATTTGCTGGGAAGACGACCTGGCAGGACTGGGAACTGACAAAGACACTGGAAAGAATGTACCAATTTTCTTGACCAAGAGGAAGCAAAGACATGGTGGTCAAAAATACCCATACTTTTCCATCCCAAAATACTAATACACATTAATTGTTGAACAAAATATTCTGTTTGCCGCCCTGAAATTGTTTCCCTAAAATTGCACCAGAACTATTTCACTGTTCTTGAAGAGAGACCTCATGCTCACCTTTCTCTCCCATATTCACCTGAGGGACTGACTGGGCTTTTAAGTCGTATTGATGATTGAGTATAAAATAGGAGAAACTATTGAGCCTTGATAGTTAGAGAAAATGTTTTATACCAATGTAACACATTAGAAGTAAAAAAGTGAAGCACTTTTGGGTCCTCAAGGCAGTATCTTCAAACCAGTTCAGACAGGAAATGAGAAGTAAGAATTACCAATGGCATTGCACCAATTATTCAGCATTACGTCTACTAACACCAAAGGGGATTCTTGCATTGGATATACAATCTAGTATGTCCCACTTTTAAAGTAGCATTTTAATTGCTTAAGCATTACTTTAAATTTGATTTTAATGTGCCTCTGTTCTTCTACTCATTCTCTTTAAGCATAATGGACATAATTCCAGTACTACTCATGGCCATAATTCTACATACCTACAGAACAGGGGACCTCAAAGAAGATTCTCAAAGAGGAAAAACTTGACTACAATTAAGCTCTGGCACTGCTTTAGAAAATAAGCAAGGGTAGTTCTAAATAGAAACTCTGTTCTTTCCAAGTAGAACAAATAGCAATCAAAATAAAAGTGTGCTGAGACCATTGACTCAACACAAAGTTACAGGAAGAAAAAAATGAAATTGACTGTATTTTGTATAGACTGAAAGAAACCAAATTCCTAGCAGTTTGCAAGATCGGACATCAGATATAAAAAGATTCCAGAATAAATTACAAGAACATGGAGTAAGGTAAGCAAAAATTGGTCATGATATTCTTTTTCAAGAAGCAAAATAAGAAACGTTCATCTCATGCACTCTCATGGACTGATGCTCTCCTCTGGAGATGAAGAAAAAGACAGCACTTCTGGTCACTCGCTGATGTTCTTTCTGGGAGATTAAAGCCATACCTCTATAAAGTCAGACACAAAGACTATATTGAGGACAGACTAGCCAAAGACCAGAAATGGCATGCTGTCTTCTCAACTATCCGCTAAAAGTTAATAAACTAGAAGATTCAGAAGTAAACAGTCAAATGAGATTCCCCATAACCTGATGTGTCTTTTTACATGACAAACACATCAGAAGACAGGCTCACTAAAAAGCAAACATCCACTTAAACTCAGCAGATAATCTGAGCAATGACAGATGACTGTTCAACAAGACACATTTACTGATTACAGCAAAATATGAGACTTCCTAGAGATGAAATAGATTTTCATTGTGTGACAGTGCTTTGTATAAGCAATACAGCAACTAAGGAGTTGGAAAGGCAAATAAAGACACTTTTTTTTTTTTTTTTTTTTAAGGGAAACCCACGGTTTTAAGTAGCAAAAAGTGAAATACTTTAAACAATTACCAAAATTAAAATCACAGTTTGGAATATTTTTTCTATTAAGAATCTGCTTTTAGAACCCTCAAAGTTTTCATCTGATAGTTTTACGAATCCTTTCTGTGCTTATTATGCTTAATGCAAGAATAAATACACAGGGTTAATGTTTCACCTATTGATGCAAATTTCTGATGCAAATTTCTGATAGTATTATGGGAGGCTGCAAAGAGGAAAAATAAGAAAAACATGCTTAGCAGAAAATCTAAGGAATTAAAAATAGTATTTTACTTTTTGCATTTGCACTTCGCAAGGTTAATATTTTTGTGGGTTCATATGCAGTGTATACATGCAAACACAGATACAGGTGCATATATTATAACTGCTACTGTAGTACTCCAACAATCGCTGTGGGAATGTTTAAGAAAGATTATTCTCAATGCTAGCAACTCCAAAATTTATCTCAATACACCCTCCCACTGCTGACAGTTTAGCAGGTGTTCTATTGCAACAAGCAGCAGTTCAGCTGCCACCTGGTAGGCGTAGGCTGTCTTATCAGCGTTCAGCACATTTCCACTTCTATCACTTTGAGCCATGAGAGATCACAGCCTGGTTTTCTCTATTCACTTTCTCACTGAATCCCATTAATTACAATTACACTTGGGTACAGTCTGCTTTCTCCGAACACTAGGTGACAGAACCAAACTTAAATTTTTAACTATTTCTAGCACTTTCATTTAAAAAACATAGAATACAGGTTAAATCAATACTCTGAAATAAGAACATCAACTCCTTCACCACCTCAAATGTGTGGTACTGAAAACAAATCCGTTGGCATTCAGCAAGATGCTACTTCAAACACAAACTACCCAAACTCATATTGTTCAGAGTAAAATTCAGTAAATCCAAAACTATAAATCCAGTTATAAAACCTTTCATTTTGGAAGGTTTCATCTGACATTTCATGATAAAGCACAAGGTTATGAAGGGAATCAGTAGTTACCTATATATCACAAAAACTGAATGCAGCAACTACATTTCCATATGATAATACATCATTCAGAAAACAAACTACTCTTTTCTATTAGTAATTTATTCAAAAAGAAGCTTGTTTTCCAAGGCAGGCAGTATGATACTAAATGCCTACATTTCTTCAATTTTATACATAGGTTGATTTAAGCATAAAAAGTGAAGTAATCTTCCAAAAGGCATACAATCAATGGCTTCATCCCAAATATATTCCCTGTCTTAAGACTAATGCTGTATTTCTCACAAGATTCTTTTAATCAAATAACCTTTTTAAATTTGTACTTACTGTTTTACTAAAAACGTTACATAACTGTCTAGTGCCAGTTACTGCTGTTTTACTAGTAATAGTGCTATTGATAATCAATGTTGTTGTTGACAATGGTATAAATGTTTGAGAACATTTTATATTGTTGACAAGTATCTGTAGTAGAATACATTTAAGGACATAATCTCTAATTATATTTACTTCTTGAACAATGGATTCACTTCAGGTGGTATTATTTAGGCTACAAATTACAGGATATCATAAAGTTATCCTATAGCTCTGAGATTACCTGTTTCTGTATTCATTCACCTAAAATATTGCCTGCTGTGTTTTGTGGGTTGTAGTATTTTATGCTTCTATATAATATATATATAAACATTCACTTAAGTGTTTTTGTGGGCTTCATTTCCTACTGTCACATAAACAACTGAAAGAGATGGAAAGCACTGCATAATCCTATATACTGCACAGGGGAACGTGAGAAGCTGAGTTTGTATACAAAGGTCCACATGATACCAATAAACAAATACAGAAGCAACAGAAACATCAAGAATAAAAGAGGGGTATGGTGAGGACAGTTTACAGGACTACTTTGCAGCAAGAACAGAGTGAGAATCATAACTGATTAGTGATCAAAAGGCTTTTATGATCCTGGAATAACATAAACAGATGTTCAGGCTGGGGAATTTCCAAATCAAGAGGTAGTCTTCTAAGCATGCTTGCAAAACCATTGAATTTAGATATTTAGAATTTTATAAAACATTCAGTATATAAAATACATATACTTAAGGAAAAAGCAATGCAGTAGAAATGCTTTTACTATCTGACACCTACAGGAAGTTCAAAGTTCAAGCGAAAATGTTCTAAGTGAAAAAATTGGGAAGAAAATCTTGTAGGGAAGAATAACAAACAGAAAACTTCAGACATTTTTGAAAGCAGCTAAGTTCTAAATTCATCTACAATGAATACTAAAATTTCTTTTTCCCGCTTCCTGTATATATAAATTTGTTCTTAAGTATCCAGTCTGCTACTACCCAACAGTCCAAAATACCAAAATAACCATTCTCTGTCTTTGTAATACTACAGCTTTTTGTATTATGTATTTTAAATTACGTAACAGTTCTTTCAGTTTTACTCCACCCTGTAAATACTCTGAGGATTTTTATATCATAATACAGTTCTATTAAATTACATCAGAAAAGCAATAGACATTAAAAAATTAAGCATTTATTTTAAGATTTTAGGTATATAATTTTTATTAATACAGCTAGTTAAGCAGGGTTTCAGACAGCTAAAAATCACATGCAAGCTTTCGTGGAAGTAAAATAGAAAGAAAAAATAACGGTGATCCCTTAAAAGCACAGATACTTTCAGGGTACAGACTGTGACAACTGTGAGTGCTCTCTACTGGAAAATTCCAAGCTAAATCATGTGAGATTTCTAGCATTAAAAACACTTGTTTTCATCTTCTCATGGAGTCTGTGCCTAAAAAAAATATAATTTTGCCTCAACTTCACTACGAACGATCTTACAATAAACACAAAATAATTCAACATACGAATGCACAGTTTAGAAATAAACACAAACATACCTTGTCAAAAGGAATTCCATACTTCTTCAATATGGAGGGAGAAATCAGTGTCATCTTGTGGCGAAGAAAAGCACCGCATCCTTGAGAGCTGCTTGGGAAGAAACCTAGTAAGGCAAGAGAAGCAAAATTGGGTATTCTTTAATTAAAATAACAAGGATATTTTTATATTTTTTTTATATTGAACAACACTTCAAACTTTTTGTATTTTTATTTATTCTGACATTGTTAGCTGCTGAGAAAATTGTATAAAAGGCAAATTCATCTCCTACATTTTTTAGCTGATTTTCAGCTTTTGTTTTTTAAAGAACTGAAATATTTTTTCAACATACAATTTGGGTATCCTTTTCTTTCCTTTTCCAGAAATACTTTACTCTGTATTTTTCCACTTTCATGTTTATACTCCAACCCCTGCACACCTGAAAATCAACCACATTATTAAAATGTAGGAAGACTCTACAATTATTACATTTAGCTAGCACATATCATCTATACAGGAAAAAAAAATCTATCTAAAAAAGGCCAGGTAGTATGGAAGCATCATTCTTAACTATTCCCCAAAGTTCACAGAGGTATCTAATGCAATTATAAATGGGGGGAAGGAGACAGGTTGCTTTTTGTTGTTGTTGTTCTTGCTTCTTTACATCTTGTTCTGATTCTATGAACAAAGTCTGTTATTCAGATTTCAATTTTCTCGATTTTTTATGCACCATTTCATTAACGCTTGGTTCATTAACTAATGATACAATCCAGTTGACGAGAGCAAAGTTACATTCACCTCACTTTGACTTTTGTCAAAAAGTCATTTTTGACTGTGTTAAAATCTAACATCACTCAAGTCTTACAAAATGTTAGCACTAACAAATCAACAGAACTACAGTAATGAGTAAATTGTCTCCCTTTAACAATCAGCCACGACTAGAAGCTATTATTTTTGTTGTTGTAAGAAGATATTTTTATTATTAATCTTTACAGTCTTTTTAGTGTTTGCACTAGAACATTACCAAGAATCACCAAGAGATATATAGTATCTAGATACAGGATGAACTACAATTCATCCATATAACAATCACAGAAAATGTGTTATTTTACTGTATCAAGCATACAACATTTGAAAATAACACATTTTTATGAAGTCCAACTTCATTAATTTATTTCATTTTCTTCTGGAGAGAGTATTTTTTTCCAACATTACCAAGACTTACTAACATCAATAGTTTACTCCACTGTATGCCATTTATTCCTAAGTGATTTCAGCAACTTTAGAAAGTTTCATGGGCTACTATTGAAAAATAAAACGCTCCTAAATGTAATCATTTCAAAAATTTCTCTTAATTTCCAGAAAGCAGAGTTAAGGCACAAAGGAATTTGCCATAACTAACAGATACAAAATCAACTACTCATTATGAAAAAGTCTCCTTAATAACAGTATTAATAGTAATTCAGTAATTTTTGGTTAATGTATTAACCAAGAACACCACTCAACTTTCTCCAACCTGCATTATAAATTGTTTTGCTGGGAAGAAAAAAATGTCTGGTAAATGTATGAAAGCAGAAGAGGTCACTCAAGAAAAATGCAGAAAACAAAATAGCTAACAGTATAAAAATTTTGTTTAGTTGATATGAAATTAGCAACAGGTCATTTAACCAGTAAGAAATGACTTTCTGTCATCAATTTACTGTGCTTGGACAAGTAGTTGTATCCCTCCTCTCAAGTAAACATTATTCTGCCATTCACAGAAACAGTGTCAAGCCTGGTACAACAACACTACTAAACTAACATCACTATTAGATGAATAACAACTTCAAATCAATTAACCATCTAATATATAAGATGGTAGATGGTATAGTCTAAATAGATGAAATCTCAGCAATTTTCCATAATATACAGTTTATTCTGTACTGTCATATTTAGTTTCTTTCTAATATAATTCTCACATTTACATCCATTAACCATCCTAGAACTCTGTAGCCATCTTAAAATGAACACACTACATTGGCACGTTCTCTGCACATTCTTTTCTAGCATACTCCCCAGTCCTGTCGGAATGATTTTTGTTCTAAGTTACTGGATAAAATGTTCCCCTAAGGATCAAAGGTGTAACATACACTTACACTACTTAAATCTATTAAGAGGAATTTACAGCATTTACTGACATTCGTTGTGATTACAGGGCCCTACCAGTGAAATCAAAGGTGCTGCCAACACATTCTATGTCACTATAAAATATTTTTCCGACTCTTTCAAAGTCGATGCTTGGACACACAAATTTTCCAGTCCCATTCTCAGAAATGCTCCCCTTCAATGAACAAAGGAAGAAAGGAAGGTAGTATCTCCTCATTATAAGACTATTCATCAGAAGGTCTTTTGTTCTACCCAGGCTAAAGATAAGGTCACGCAACTTTTCCTTCAGCAAAGAAAAACCCTGCAAGAGAATGGGCTAAAGGATATCTAAAGACCTACTAATCCACTGAATAGAGGACGTTACATTGGAAGTTTCACAAGACCTTCACAAATACATTAAATGCACAGACAGAGAGGAATAAGCTTTCTCACAGAACACTGCAATTTAAATAATAAAAACACCATATAATCTTCTATCTCCTTTGTTAAATTTTCAATTATTTTTGATCCCAGATCAGAATCATGCAAACACTTAAGTTGATCTTAGAATTACCAATTTACAGGTTTCACATTAATCCTGAATACCTAGTGAATTCCCACAACAAGACTGCAAATCTAGAAAAAAATACTGCAATCTAGAATTCAAGTTCCGTAGCAGATTCATGCTTTTATTAATTACATGAAATTAAGCACTCATTAGCTCTACATTAAGTCTACAAAAGTGGTTATTTTGTGTTATTATTTTGTGCAACCCCAATTTCACACAGCCTTTTGAGACCTGGTAGACCTCTTCTATCCCTACTCTCAATACTTACATTTCATCATCTGTACTCTACCCATCCTCTTCCCTACTCACCCTCTCATAAATGATTACACAGAACACAAAATGATGATTCAAAACAATTCCTTCAGAAGAGCCAAAGATCAGTATTCAAAGATTAGGGCACAGCAGATAGGTTGCACAATGATTTTCACCTACAAGATAACAGACAATCTGGTTCAAAATTCTCCAATCAATTTAAAGAAACTGATATTCTAAATATCTAGAGAAGATCAGAATGATCTCCAAGATAAGAACATGATTCAACATATGGTGGACAAATGTTTGGGTACAAACACATACACTGCAGGTAGAGTACATTTATACAGCAAACAGAAGGTCCCACTCAAGCTTTTTAACAGCCTTATGTAGTTAGCACAAGCAACAAAAGCAAAGATTATGTGAAAACACAGGCTTCAGACTGTGCTGAGAATCAAAAACATGCTCTCAGATAACTCCACATACATACTCTGTCAAGTAACATAAACCAAAATAAGATAACTTTACACAAGGTAAACAATGCTATTTGCGCTAATAAAACTGTTTTGGTTGTTATCGCTAGGCCAGTGAAGACTATTCCCCTTTACTAGAAAATGTCACCTTTATGGAATTTCTGGTTTTATGATCCATTTTCCAGACACAAGTCAAACCATTCTCATCTTTATGGGAAGCTGGCAGCAGAGGCTACTAAGCAGATTGCTAGCTGCATCTGACGAAGACAAGATTCAAACATGCATACAACACTGCTGCAGTGAGACACACTAAAGAGTGCATGAAAATGATCAAGGAAAAAGACAAATTCAAAATAAGGCTGGCTCAATTAATTATTGAGGGACAGTGAGCATCGTTACCCATACAGCTTTATAACTTTTTTTCCAACCTAAGGCTACAGGTTGTATCAGGTGACCAGTTGTATCATCACCAGTTATCTCTCATGAAAACTGAATTGGGTTGGGTTTTATCCTCCAGTTGATCAGCATTCTTAAAACAACTGGAATACTTCCATATGCTACTAGTAATGTGTTCATAGTGATTTCAGTTAAACCACTTGGCTATGATTTTAAATGAACAAATTATGGTATTTTTCTTCTCAAATTAGTAATTCGTAAGCATGCAAGTAGAATCCACAAGGCAAGTGACTAAATATTATCTTATATGATCAAAGATATCACAGTCTGGCTGGAAATTAAGTAATTATTTAACAAACACACAAAAATCATATTCATAGGGAACTTTCAAATCAAATTCTAACCAGGGAATGAATGAGGCCATAATTCCTATCTTTTTCTTCACTTTCACACTCAAGTCTTCACCTCAAATTTTACATTAAGCATGTAATATTTTTATCTTATTAATACTATTTGAAAATAAAAATATAAAATTTGCATCATAGGAGAACATCCTAAATTGCAAATACCTTTAGTGTAATTTAACTTTACGGTAGTTAAAATTAATCCCAACTAAGTAATTAAGAAAGAAAGCTCAAAATTAAGGTGATTTTTCACTTACGTAGATATTCATTTAAAGGACTGCAGAACATACAAAGTATCAATCATAGTTCAGAGATCGCAAGATCTACTCTTGGAACACGGGCAAATAAAGATTGCGTTTTCTAGTCTATTTTCTACATTTTGCTTTGGTAAGTATACATAGAAATAAGATAACATCTTAAAATTAATTTGCCATGATTTGAATTAATTTAATTTAACTTAGTGTATTGTACATAAAAGAAATTCAGAGGATAAGTTTGCATGGCAACATTCCTCACAAAGCAGCAGTGGCAATCTGTATGCTGTATAAAGCAAAGAGTACAAAAGACACAAAAGAAGAAAGTTCTGTGAAATATAAGTGTTATTATGCCCAGATGATTATGTTACAGCCCTGAGTTTATTATCTCTTATATGTGACTTTCTTGACTCACTTAACTATCAATTGAGATAAATTCCAATTCTTCAGCAGCTGCAGTTTTCAGATGTTAAGAGCCTTGCAAATTATGCAAGTTCTACATCAAATTCCATTTAAACAATTATTTGTAGTCATTTTCATATGTAACAGGTAATGACTTCTGCATCAAGTAGATTAATTAATACTATATAACATACAAAGCTTTTTCTAACACCACTACATACATAGAATGTTTCAAAGTTTTACTTTAGTTTCTT